CCCACACCACCCCCGATTGCAAGCGGGTCACCTGTCTTCTTAATGGGAAGCAGTTTTGAAAAGATGAGGTTAATGTGCTTGGAGGGCATGCTTAGAGATGACCCGAATGAAAAAATCGATATGCAAAGGAATCAAAAGACACACGTCCTCCCCCCCATCCCCATATGGCAACCATTTGTCTCAAGAAGGTCATCCAGACATAAATAATATTTTGGGGGGGGGGGGGAGAATTCCTTCCTTCCTCAGAGGCTAGACCTCTGGGGGCCCGATCTCCTTCACGTCGGAGAGCAAAGAGCTCGACTGCTCATCGGCACGGTGGGGGCCAGGCCGTGGGGGGGGGGGGGGGGGGGGGGGGGGGGGGGGGGGGGCTTGGAGTATGGAAGGGCAGGCAGTCACAAGGGAGTCAGCAGGTTCAGTATAGCTCTAGTAGAACAACACAACAGAAATCAATCCCAGCTGTCTGCTTGGAGCCGGGACAGTGGATTGCGGCTATCAGGAAATGACAGGAACAATAAAAGGGAGAAGCCCAAATGGCGATGGAGTACTGGATCGGGCTTTTTTACGGGACCTGTTTGCCTGCCCGTTTGTGCCGTGACGTCCGATACCAAACAGAACTGAAACTCGGCCGGCATCAGCTCTTGTCCAGCTTCTAGATGATTCTCGCTCCTCTCCCAAGGGCGTCCGGGACTGCAGCCGGGACCCGGTGCGCGCCGTGGGGTCCGGGCCCGGCTCCCGTCCCGTCCGCACGCACGTGTGCGAAAGAGATCGCGGTTAACGTTCGTCCGAATCGCCCCGGGGATACGAGTCCTGAGTCCTTCCTTCCTGCGGAGAGTGGAATTCTCATTAAGTCATAACCGCTTTTCAAGGGGCCGGGATCTTCCTCCTGCGAAAGCCAGACTGAACCGATTTTCTTTAAGTGAGTGGTGGGGGGGGGGGGGAATAAAAAAAATAAACAGAAAACGTTACGGCCCAATGATTTGCTGCGTTGTCCCAAGATCCGGAAAAAATCAATTAGGCTGAAAAAAACTGAAGCTCGCAAACATGCGGAAGACTGCTGCCCCGAGGTCAGACTTCAAGATGTCGAAGATTGACGGACCCTTATGCAGATACCATGCATCAGGGCTCACACACACTCCTCTGTTTGAATAATTAGAATGGACCGACGAATCTGTTTTTATCTCCTATCTATATGTCAATGGTACTGATCCCAAACACGACTGAGGCTGGGAAAGTGACATGATGCTTGTGTTTTTACCTTTTATCCTGCTTTTAAAATATTTACCTCCTATCCCAGTTCTTCTTCACTTTTTGACTTTTACTGATGGGGCGAATCAGATATCCTGTCCTGCCCGATCAGCTCTTTTGCTCTGCTATCTAGTCATGTGGGTCGTCGCCTTTTCTTCCCTTTTCCTGAGCAGAGGCGGAAAGTTCAGGTGCCGAAAGTAGAAATCCAGACCAAGATTTTGTTTCAACCAACCAGTTCAGTATAAAGAGTCACAGTCACAGAGTAACTCAACTGGTTGGTTGAAACAAAATCTTGGTCTGGATTTGTACTTTCGGCACCTGAACTTTCCGCCTCCAGAAGCTTGTAAATTGCTCACAGCTACTTCTTTCCCCATTTCTGCCGGAAAATCTGGGCTAACGGGAGGCATTAAGAGAAAATATATGAGTGCAATAGACACTTAAAGCCTTTAGGAAACACTGAGGCCCCCTTCCCTGGTAGAGACCCAGGCGTGGAGAGCAGCTCCAGGCCCATATGGGCGGGGAAATCCGCCTCCAGTGAGCTTGTTGTTCTTATCCGGAAAAAAGGATTGCTGGGAATTCTGCACCATAATGAAAACCCGGAGTTCAGTACCCTGATCATGTCCCCAAGGGGAGGGTCCCAAAGGAGACCTAGCCGGAAGCGGGATCCGTTCCCAGCGTGTGGAAGAGCTTGACGGGCTGATGCTGGTTTGGTCGGACCTGCCTTTCAGTCCTCCCCCCCCCCCACCCTCTGGACTTGTGCACAGGGCAGGAAGCTGTTGTGAAGTGCTGCTACGGTTGGATGGGCGCTTCCATTCAAGTGCAGTCGTGAGGTGCATTTACAGCCCGTGTGTTCGCCCTCCTGGATCCCCCCCCACGCTGACGCGGGACCCACTCGAGGAACAGCTGGCATCGCCGCAGTCAGCTGCAGAATGAATCCCGCAGCCGGGTTCTGCATGACTGGGTTCTGCACGGTTGGTTTCTGCATGGCCCAGTTATGCATGAAACTGTTCTGCATGGCCCAGTTCTGCACAGCCTGGTTCTGCTTGGCCTGGTTCTGCACGGCTGGGTTCTGCATGGTCCAGTTCTGTATGGCTGGAGTCTGCATGGCCGGGTTCTACATGACTGGTTCTGCACGGCCTGGTTCTGCACAGCTAGGCCCGGCTGCCCTTCTCCAAAGGATGACCCAGAAGACTCTAATTGGTTTCTCGGTTGAATGGAGAAACATTGACATTTTGCTTGCAGTGCAAACAGAAAGAGGGACGACTTTGTCTCACTGATTTTGAGGACCCAGTTTTTAAGCCTAAATGTTTTAAACCTGTTTCAATGGTAACCACATCCTTGCACGAGCTGTTGTGAAAATGCACACAGTGCACACTGCACAGGGTAAAAAGCAGATCAGGGTGCATGGACAAAGCTGGTGCCCATTTGGACAGGGTCTGGTCCAGCTGGTGGGGGGGTGGGGGGGGGGCTTTGCTCTGGCTTAGCTTCCAAACCCTAGTGGGAGGAGGGGGCATATAATTCTGGTCTTCGGGTGGATGCAAGGGGTAATTCTTCACACATGTATGGGGAGGCTGAAGCCATCTCGCTCCTCCTGCATTGTTGCACGCCCGGGTGGCTTACCCCCCCACCCCAAAGTGTTCAGAAAATAAATCCCACCCTATTCCCCCCTAACAAATGAGGCCAGTTGACTGTGACATCAGCACATTTGAAGCACCATCCTCTGATGTGTAATTTATATTTATTTTTTGAGAAAGCAAGGTCAGACACTCCGTGGACCAATCAGGGGTCAGAGTCTTTGCTCAAGGGCCCAATAGTGAAATTACTCTGCTGACCCTGGGATTTGAACTAGTAATGTTCTGGTCATGAGTACAGCATCTTAATATGCTGAGCCACACACTACCCGATGTAATTGGAAACTAATGACTGTTGTGGCCAATGCATCATGATGTCTTTGACTCTGTGCTGCTTGAATAGAAGATGACTTTATCTGATACTTTAATCCAAAGCGCCTTACAATAGTTACTGTAAATACAGTGCTCACAGAAAGTCTTGGAATGCTTGATAAATGTTGTAAAAATGTTGCGGATTTATTGGTTTCTTAACAAAAGTCCATTGACAAGCAGCGTTTAGCATACCTACGCATTACTTCCGCACAGACATTTCCTTTTTATTAAATGTCATGAATTTTTGACTCATTCAGTTCTTCTCTTGCCATTTTATTATTAATTGCAGTTGTAGTCACTGGCCCCCGAAGGGATACTAAACATAAATGTTTGGTGTTTTATGTCGTTGCAAAGGTGTTACTAATTAAAAAGCACCTAATGAGACTGTTTATGAACTTTTTAACTCAATGAACTTTTTAGAACTATAATTTTGGTTTCAATTTGATCCTAATTGAAATGAATGATTTTCTTAAAACTACTGGTTATTTCTAAAGCAATATATATATATATCGTAAGACAAACCACTGCGCCTGTTGCTCTTTTTGAGGAATAAGTGTCAGCTGAGGCTAAGGTTGGGTGGCATGAAGTGTCCTCCGGTAACATCCGCAGTGTCTGTAAAGAGGACGCCGACTCATGAGGGGTTTGAGGACGGCAGACGTCTGGTTCAGCTGGTCTCACAGCCCTGTGTCATACGAGAAGGTGCCAAAAAAAAAACAGTCTCTGGGAGGTTCGTAGCTCGCCGCTGAGCAGCACCGGTACGGACGGGGATCGCCGCTCGCGATGCTGAAACGACCTGCAGTCTTACCGTCTCGTCTCCCTTTCCAGGGCGTTCGCCCGTGTCGTTTCATTCTCTGTCCCGGTCTGTCGGCAGCTGTCACGTCGGCCGGTGCATCATCCAGACGGGACCACATATCATATCCCCCAACGTCCAGATGAAAACCCACAGACACAAACACAAAAAAACATGCACCTTTAATGCAATGGACGGGTCAATGGGTTAAGTCTCTGTACCTGATATCAGAAGGTTGCCAGTTTGAATCCCAGCCTTGGCTGGATAGTCACATCTCCACTGGGCCCTAAGCTTCGCTTACCCTTTAGCTCCAGGAATGCTAGGTAAATGGTCTAATCTATGCATGGGCCCCAAGCTTCGCTCTCAATTGTATGTGTGCGTTTCAAAGGAGTGCATGATGGGATACGTGTAAATAAAACAATCCAACGTCCCTGTATGTATGCAAATGGTAAACAGAGAATCATTTCTTAATTTTTCTTTGAAAAAAGACTGTTCTGCTGTGCTCCAAAAAGCAACATCTATACTGCACGGTATGATTTATATACTAGGTCGATCAATCAGTCATACGACGATAATGTCTGATGTATATTAGCAAATAGTCTGAGAGAACATTCGTGGGTGGCCTTTAAATGTCATGTGACCACACATGATAGTGTGTCAGATGCTTTGGAGGGACAGAAACGCAAGATGGTAAACAATTCTCGGTGTCGGTTTGATTCATCGCAACCACCGGAAACAAAACATCACCAAACGGCGCCTCCACAGTCACTCTGCCTCGCACTGGCGTGCACAGATAGAGACGAGGTGGTGCTGAAGCACTTGCCCTTTTGCCCTCAGTCCAAAAAAGTGCCCTTTTGAAAGACGTGATTTTTTTTTTTTTTAA